AAAATTTAGTCTCCTTTGAGATAAATACCACCCAATTCCTATGTATTTATATATCTAACACCTATACTTTACCTTTTATATTTATACCACTAAAATATTTTGGCTTTTAAGTAGTAAAATACATGTTTTCATGATGTAAAGTTATCATGTATGTAAAAATTGAAGTTTATGAATTACATGGGTAGACACATAGGAATTGACTGGTATATACGTAAGTCTTCCTCAATTTTATATAAGGAACCATCAACTTTCAACTTACATCAGATGTAAGAAATCTAACAGTATCATAAAATCAAACTCAACCACAACAAATTGTTCAGTTTTTTTTGGCAGAGCGAATGAGGAAACGAGCAGTAATTGTAAACTGATGTTGTTACATAATGCTCACTAGCTGAATTGAAACCAAATCATGGATAAAAGAATCTTTTTCAACTAACTAGCCAATTAAAAAGAAACCAGAACTTATGAATAGATAGCAGATCTGTCAAGGTTAGATCTCATCGTAGAGTATAAATTTCCAAATATAAATCCATACTTCATTAACAAAACCTAAATTTTTTGCCCATGCATAGACAAAAAAATTTCCTCAGATCTCAGTGTCGTATCTAACCATTCCAAGAGCCCAATTTCCAAAAAAAATAATCACGCAAATAATCTAACCAATATCTAAAGTACAAAAGAGATCCTAAATCCAAAAAATATCAGCCTACTAAACACCATATCCCAAAGACGAAACTACTCTAAAATAAGAGAAACTCAACTAAATGCTATCGTACTTAGTGAAATGCAGTAGAGCATACTGGAGCTACATACATAGCACACAATTTGTATGTATTTGCATTTCTCACACTTAAACATTCATACGTACATACATAAACTCAAGTTTGTAATTGACATAAAAAATATCATTATTACCACATTTTAGCAGTGAAAAACACCTTCTCATGCATAGGTTTAAAGCAACAATGTACTATGTATGTAAATATGAAAGTTTAGGTGTGAAATATGTAAATGCACGAGAATTGTTGGCATTTTATGTTATTTTTCCTCCATTTTTCCTCACTCCAACCAAAGCCAACAAACAAAACAAATTGGTCTAAAACTTAATTAGAGACATTTATCTGAAGAAAAATAACAATAATAATGAAAGGAAGGCAGCACTTATAATTCCAGCAATTCAAGTAACTTCAGGAGAATTTAACTAGCCTTACAAAAATAAATGCTACAATGATATCTAGTCCCTGGCGCTTGGTTCATTAACAAGAAAAAAAAATTCAAAGAAGTCGAAGAAGAAAACAACATTTGGTGGAATCAATATACGGAAACAAATACTATACATTGTACACAATGCTGAGCACCACTAAAAAGCTAACAAGAGTTAACTAATAAATACAACATCATATTTTTTAAATATTCATAAAACAATAAAGTAAAAGAACAAAACAGATATTGCAAACTGGACTAAAAATCCATAATTTAACTAGAAAAAATGCTTGAACAATTGAGAAAAAAATAAAGATGCAGGTAAAGGAAGACAGACTTCAGAAAAATAAAACTCCCGGATAAGACAAGATCTACAGAAGGCAGAGAATCGATCCATCAAAGCGTGCGATCAATAGGGATCAAGCCTAAGGAAACTGATAGGATGGCCAGGAGAAAAGCGTAAATAGCTGAAGCCAAGAAGGAAATCAAGGCAAAGCAGGGAAATCATGGCAAAGCAATAGATGAGGAGCGCCCCATATGGAAAGAAAATTTCGATATTTCCACTTAACAAATGCCGAAAGTATGGTAGAAAGTCAGGGCATCTTCGCGTTCAGAATTTGCCCAGAATAGGCATTAAGGGGACGAGAAGTTGGGAGAAGGTGCTCATCCAAACGCTCGCAGACCGTTGTCTCCACTTCTACTACACTGCAACAGAGCGGAGAAGTCTTCTCAAATGAAGGCCTAAGCGGCAATAAAGAAATAAATGGTGTATAGTACCATCTCATAGCAAGGATAAAAAGAATATTGTCACGCTATGGCATTATGCCTAGAGCATCCAAATTTCTTGTAAGAAAAAAAATTATATCTTGCCTTGCTTTAAAAGGAAAAAAAAAATACCTACAACTTATCAATGTAAAATATAGATCATCCAAACAACCATTTTCATGGTCAGCCAAAAAAATCTGCATCCTTATTCCCGATCCACAATGATGAATTAGGGTAATCTAGACTCAACAATATCACAAACAATAGCTGATTAATTATATTCATTAATGCTAACCATAGAGTCACGTGATTGTTCCATATGAAATATAAATCTGAAGAGGTTTAATAATATAGAGTAAAGTCAAAGCTATTGAAACAAGAGATTGCTCATTATATCATGTGTAAATACTTTCACATCAAATTGAAAGAAAAAGCAAACATTTGATAAAAGTGAATGAACCAATCATACTTAAATTAAATGTTCCAAAATAATTCCAAGGTGAGCTCTGGTAAATGCTATATTTCTCATTAATATAATGGTTACTCAAACATAAATTTCCAAATTTTTAGTCGAATTCTCCTTTAAACACATCGTCATTCCCAAATCAACACATCCATTCTAATTAAAATCTTCATGCACACCTTTTTCCACGTATACCACGAAGCAAACTCGAGCGCTCAAATGTATTTTCACTGGATACTTGTCTGACAAGAAAATATGAGCTATTCAACAACTACATATAAAATTCTACACTAAAATAACATGCACCATAGTAAATAAAAATTCCTAGACCAACGGTTATATTTGGAGGGAGAATTCCAAAGAATATGATCATTACAAAACTTGTATGCTGCTAATCCAATTCTTGCTTGCCATCGCTCCAAAAAATTCTACCCAAAATTCCACTATTCCGGCGAACACACTTTAAAACAACAATCACACTTTGAAATCCATAATATAAAATGCCATTACAAAAATATAATCAATTATCATCATGCATCTTTCATAATCCATTATAAATTTGGAATGGGTAAGATTTGAAAAGGCTAAATGATAAATTTATGCAACTTTTTATCTCTTAACTACTTTTGAAGATTATCAACAAAATTTGCAATGGGTGATCAAAGATGTGTGGGGACAAATAGCTTTGTTTATTTAGAAAGGTAATTTTTACGCTCTTTATGACATAAGAAGAGAGCATACTTGGCTTTTGTCAAATTTGAGTCAATAAATCATGATATTTAAATAAATTTCACATCACTTAAAAAACTTTTATTTACATAAATAAAACACAATTATTTTTTAAATAAAAATAGCACAATTTTTTAATGCAAAACAGAATTATCATCTTTCATCCAAATGATTTTAAATTCTCATAAATTAAATTTTATCATGAGCAAACATATTTGTTTTCTAGTAGTTTGATGGTGGATGAAATACTTAGAATAAACGAACCAAAAAATTAACTACCAAACAAGCTTATGATATATAAATTTGGTGAATTAAAATAGATGATTAGTTTTAAAAATTATTAAGAAAAATATACTATCGGAAGGGTATTTTCTCAAATATCATGGATCAACTATTTAAAACAATAGGGGTATAAGAATATAACTTTTACAGTTGCAAATATGGTAAAATTGAGAAGGGCCTTAGGATTCATTTACAACAAAGTATTATCAAGGAGACAAAAAAATCATTTTTTAAAGCTATAATAAGACCAAATATGTTGTGAAGATCCAAGTATAGGCTATAAAAAAAATACTAGCAAATTGAGCGTATCCAAATTGAGCGTATCCAAAATTAGCAATTTAAAGCAAGTAGCTTGCCCAGATAAAGAGAAAAGTGAAAGAAATAACAGTATAAGATGCATTGTAAAATCAGCAAGTATTTAAGATAAAGTTAAAAATAGGCAAAAGGAACGGCAATGAGCAACAACAACAACAACAAAACCTTTATCACACTAAGTGGGGTCGGCTGCATGAATTCTTTCTCCATTGCGTCCTATTTAGTGTCATATTTTCAATTATTTCTAATAAATTAAGATCATTTTTTATACAATGCCCAAGTCTTCCTAGGTCTACCACTGATTTTCTTAACATAAGTAGAATCTAAAACATTTACTCTTCTAATCAAATCATCAGATGATCGACATTTAATGTGACCAAACCATTTAAGACGACTCTCACTAATTTTGTCTGTCTCTGGAGCTACACCAACTCTATCATGGATATATTCATTTTTTGTTTTGTCTCTAAGTGTAAAGCCACCCATCCAACCAATCACACTCATCTCGACAACACTTAACTTAGTTTTATGCTTCTCTTTTAAAGGCCAACATTTAGCGTCATAGAGCATTGCAGGTGTCACCACCGTCACCACCATCTTACCACCATCTTATAAAATTTTCCTTTCAGTCAACGCAGTACCATTCTATCACACCATTGGCCCGAAGCATTCCTCCACTTCAACCAACCAACTTGAAATCTACCAATAACATTCCCATCAATATCACCATCACTTTTAACAATAGTCCCGAGATAACTAAAGCGTTCACACCTTTTAATAATTTGATCACCCATAGTTACATTTCTTTCACTAAAGCTACTACTACTAAAATTACATTCCATGTATTCAGTTTTAGTTCTACTCAAACGAAGGCCTTTAGACTCCAATGTAAACCTCTATAATTCAAGTTTTTTTCCTGAGCAATGCAAATAATATGAATTTTGAACCAATAAAACAAGTGTCTTAAAAAGACAGATAATTTAAATAGAATAAGAATAAAATTTACATAAACACGATTACAATTAAAAAGATTTAACAAAAGAATCAATACCCAACAGTGATGAAACAGATAGAGGATTTATAAATCAAGCCAAAAAATAGGGATAAGTCCTACAACAATGATTACAAAGTGGAAGTGTAGCAGAAAGAAACATGATTGTCATGACCTCATAGTGAACAACAACAATTTCATTTATGATGCAAAAATGATTCAATAAAAGGAAAAAATAACGAAGAAAACAGATTTTTCTTGTAGACAAATCCATAGTCTATAACCAAAACATAAGTTACCACAACAACATTGAGATTCCTAAATAAATCATACATTAATGACACATGATAATTAAAAGTGTTTGTCAATCAAAATAAAGAAAGAAAAGACAATTTCTAATCAAAAAGACTGAAACCCATATCTTCATCACTTTCTTCCTTGGGCTCCTCCTGCAGATTAAAACAAAAATCCAATAGAATAGTAAGCATCCTGCAGGGCCTAGTATTAAAACTGTTACAGATAATATCAGGAAACAAAACACAACAAACACCTTCTTCTCCTCTACCGCAGGGGCAGCATCTTGTACTGCACCGCCCCCACCACCAGCTGCTGGAGCCGCCGCAGCCACAGAGGCACCCCCACACCGCCTAAAAATCAATAAAAAAGCAAATCGACTATATTAGGTGATCTTTTTCAAAGGGAAAAGATTAAAAATAACATCGGCTAGATTGCAAAGCCAATCAAAAGAAACATAACAAAATAGTGAATCGAACCGGATCCAACGTTAAGAATTAGATCATCAACATTTTTCTTCTCAAGAAGCTTTGCAATCAAAGTGGCCCAGAAAGATTCGACCGAAATATTCGCAGATTTTAACAGCGTGGAGATCTTCTCCGCCTGATTAACATAAAAGAATCAGAGAAAGGGAAGAGCTAGAAAGTATTTTTTTTTTTTCTGACTAAGGTGAACGAGAGGGGAATACCGTGATGGGGATACCATCATCGTAGAGAATCAGAGCAGCAAGGCTGCAAGCTTGCTCGCCGATCGACATGAGAGAGAACAAATACTTGGAATGAAGAAAGAAGGCGGAGGCGGAGGTTCTAGTCCCTACGGCGGAAAGCGATGATATAATGGCTGAAAACCCAGACTTATTTCACACATACCTCCTAATTTCAGGTATTTACAAATCAAGCATGGCCACATTAATTTTTACATTTATCTCTTTCTCAGCCAAATATTTCCTATCACACGAGAAATATCAATATTTTAACTTAAAAAAAAAAACAGAAGTTTACTTTTTCGTCCATATGTAAAATGTAATAAATGTTAAATAATTTTAGTATTAGATAAGTAAATGGAATTGAGTGGTACTTAAGTAATCATCCAAAATAAATTAAAAAGTATTGTTCGATATATATATATATAT